CAGGAGACATGAGTGTTGGAGAACCATCCTCATGGGCTGGATTCCCCTCCTTCTGGCGGCCTTGAAGAGGCGGTGGTCCCAACACCCGACCCACTGAGGTGGTGTCTCACTTTCTGGACCCACTAGGGCAGTGTCACCACAGCTGTGCTGGCAGGGGTCACATGTCACAGGCTCTGCCAGCGGGGGTCCCACCCAAAGATTTGGTTGCTGGGTGTGTTACCTGTTGAAACCAAGGAGATGGTTTAAGTCTTTGAAATCAAGGAGTACCTGATGACTCTAAATTTCCTTCAAGGTCATTCTTTCCTTTTCTTAAACGATATTTCATCTCACAGCCAATTTGAGTTATGAGCCTGTTCTGTAAAGTCCAAATACTCATTCTTTCTGCCACAACTTCTTGTCCATGATTATTTTTAAGTGACAGTGTATATGCTTGTATAACCTTTCTCTACTCCTGGTTGATTCTGACACAGCTGATTAAAGCCGTGAGGCACAGCCATGATTTTATTCATCAAATGGTTGCTCAGCAACACCTTTTGTGTCCTCTTCACAACAAGCTTTCTAGCTTTTGGCTATATGGACAGGCTAACCCGTTTCTAGCTGCCAAATTCTGATTAGCATCTGATCACTACTGCCATCCTCAATCTAGCCGTCTCCCCTCACCTCTCACTACCAGCAGCCAGGAGGAACCAAGCCACTCCTACAATTGCTTAGAAACTTCCTCAGCTGAATATCCAGCTCCATTGCTCACAAGTTCTACCTTCCACATAACACGGGAAACCAGTGCAGCCAAGCCCTTCAACACTTTATAACAGGGATCACCTTTCCTCCAGGGACCCATAACATGTTCCCCATTTCATCTGAGGCCTCATCAGGATGGCTTGTTAGGATCCCATTTCAACCCCCATTGTGTTCATGATGATCCCTGTTTTCTCTTAGAATATGGGGGCCTCTCGACAGCTGCCCGGTCTTCTTCCTGAGCTCCCAAGACAGTCACCTTCAATATCTCTTCACAGCAATCTTGGAGTTTTTCTCACGTGCACGTTGAATCTCTTCCACCTTCTATCCATCCCTTACTTCCAAAGTCCTTAACACCTTCTCAGGTAGTTGCTAAGCAGTATCCCATACTCAGCCTCAAAAATTGAGCTGCCATCACAAAGGAATGACTGTGTTGCTTGAACAACAGTAATTTATTTTTTCACATTCTGGGGCCTGGGAAGTCCAAAGTCAAGTTGCCAGATATTCAATTCATGGTGGGAACTTGTCCTACAGGGCGGACAGCTGACTCCTCACTGTTCTCACAGGGAGGAGAGGGAGTGACACCTCCCTTTCTCTCTCTCTTCTTATAAAGCAACCAAATCTATCAGACGGGGACCCCAACCTTATGATGTCATTTAATGATAAGTATTTCTTACAAGCCCTTCTCCCATTACAGGCCACTGGGTCTTAGGGCTTCAACATGTGAATTTTGGAGGGAGAAAATTCACTCAATAGCAAGGTCCCTATTTATAAATGTCTGTGAAGCAGGTTCCATGACTAGAGCGAAATAAGTCACATTCCTAATCATCCTGACACACCCACAGGTTTCAGAAGGCAGAGCTAATGAGATGTCCTCACACTGAGATCAGAGCCTCAGATGAGATTTGGGGCCTCGTGTCCAGTACATCCTGGAAGCCAAGGACACCTCCTTGTCCCCACCCTGCACTGCACCCACCTGGGAAACAGCGTCCTCACTGCCTGGCATGTGTTTAAGGAGTGGGAGCTCCTGTCCCTGGTGTGAGGCAGCAGGTGCACCTCCTGGGTCCAGCCAGGGACACGGATGCCCTTCCAAATAGACATCACCTTTAACAGGTTCCTTGCCTGTTGGAATTTCTGTTCCAGCTTCCTGGGAGGGGCTTGAAATTGTTAAGACTTTCATTGATATTATGTCCAGTTATGTCTGTCCATGTGCCTCTTACCCTTAGTGAGGTGAGACTCCACCTCTAGTAAGAGGTCAAATTGACCTCTGGAGGGTTACCTGCTTTCTGCACCAAAATTAGTGATTATGGAAATCATCACTCCCGTTCTTAGAAGGAAACCTCGAAAAATGGAGATCAATTATGTCTCCTGAACCCATCACAGAATGAAAGATGCAAGAAGAGCCTCCACTGTGATAATTGGAAACACACGCACGGGTCCCATGGGCTGTGCGAAAAGCAGAGCCAGGGTGCAGGTTCTTCCCAAGTCTGTGCATGTGTCCCATTTCCTGGGGTTTTATCTACAAGAGAAGTGACACGCCAATGCTTATGGTCCAAGAGGGGGATGACCCCTGAACTGGGTACAGAGTATAAAGACATTTGCACGCCCATTAGTACTAAAATCATGCACTCTGTGTGTGTCTAATGTATTGACTAGCAGAGGTAGAGAGGGCTGTGAGACAATGCAGGGATTACCAGGTGTCACCTTCAACCAGAGGAACATAAAAGAGGTAAGAGGCCTCCAAAACCCTGAGCTTCGGGACTCAGGACTGTGTCAGTGGATATGGCAGCTCAGGGAAGGGGCTCCCTGGGGTTTTCATAAAGAATTTACTTAGGGACAGCTTGCAGAATCATTGCGGTTCAGTGAGGACAAGTCACTGTTTCCAGAGACGATGTCAAACTTGTGCCCTGAGGGAGCACTGTGAGGTCCGGGCACAGACATTTAACACTGGACGAGAGATGCTAGAGGCCACGCCCTGTGAGCCCAGACAGGACCCTCCCTGCAGGGCACAGGCTGGGCTGCAGGGGGCGCTCAGGACCCACCCAGCAGGGGCTGCAGCCCCAGGAGCAGGTGGGGAGGGGAAGGGGAGGGGCTTCCTCTGAGGGCCTGAAGTTTCCTTCCTCTTTATAAAAAAACATCAAAAACAAGATTTATGCAAGGACTGCTCAAGTCTATAAATATCCTATTCTATTGGGAGAATTTACCAAACACAATGGGCAATAAAACCCAATTTAAAATTGGTTTTCTAGGGTTTCAAGATGTCTTAATAAGATCAACCTGGATGACAAGGATGGTTTTACCAATCAGAAATTTTCAAAAGTCGGGCACACACACTGATCCCAGGATTCTGATATTCAGATCAAACCGAGAACAGGCTCAGGTGGTCTCTGAATCATTCAAAGTGGGGTTCTCAGTGAGGATCATGTCCTGGAGGGCCTTGTTTCTCAGTGGGAGAAGGTCTGTCTGCACAGAATCAGGGACCTGGCAGGGGACACATATCTTCCAACAAGGATTAGGAAGTGGACCCTCAGACGCCCACTGACCATGGTCCCTGGGTCATCCAGCTTCTCTCAGGTGGGCCAAGTCTTCAGCTATGAAACCCTCTGCTCATGAATATGCAAATGAGCTGAGTTGGGTGGGGTTAAATGTGGACATGTCTGTGCCCTGAGAGCATCGCCCCACAGCCACACGCTCCCCCACAGACGTCCTGACAGCACAGCCCTCACCATGGACTGGAGCTGGAGAGTCCTCTTCCTGGTGGCAGTGGCTACAGGTAAGGGGCTCCCCAGTCCNCCCACAGGTGTCCACTCCGAGGTCCAGCTGGTGCAGCCTGGGGCTGAGGTGAGGAAGCCTGGGGCCTCAGTGAAGGTGTCCTGCAAGGCTTCCGGATACACCTTCACTAGCTACATTATGAACTGGGTGCGACAGGCCCCGGGACAAGGGCTTGAGTGGATGGGACGAATAGACCCTGAAGATAGTAGCACAAGCTACGCACAGAAGTTCCAGGGCAGAGTCACCATGACTGCAGACACGTCCACCAGCACAGCCTACATGGAGCTGAGCAGCCTGAGAGCCGAGGACACGGCTGTGTATTACTGTGCGAGGGACACAGTGAGGGGAAGTCAGTGTGAGCCCAGACACAAACCTCCCTGAGGGGACAGGAGGGCTGGGCTGCAGGGGGCGCTCGGGACACCAGGGGGCGCTCGGGACACCAGGGGGCGCTCGGGACACCAGGGGGCACTAAGGACACAATGAGCACAGGGACCAGCCCCAGGAGCAGGTGTGGACCTGGGTGGGGAAGGGACTCCCTTTGGGAACAGAGGTTTCCTGTGAAATGTCTCAGCTATTCTCAAGACCAAGTCTTGAATCACTTCTGACTCTAATGTCTCCAAAAAAGTGGAAACAGTGTTTACAATGATGTATCACCAGTGACTGGGGACCTGGAGACCATCCTGAGGGCTCTTGTCTCCTCTATGGTTGGGAAACATTTCCCGCAAGGAGAGACCCCAGCACAGTCCAGGACCCTGTGTGCTGAGCTCAGGCTCTCTGCCCCCCACATGCCCTCGGGGTCCCCACAAGACCCTTTCTTCCCACAGGCACACATGGCCCCACGGGATTATGTTCAGCCCCCAGGACCTCCACCCCCATGGTCCCTGTCTTCCCTACAGCATCACAACATTAACCTCTTAGTCTTCATTCACTCAAGTGTACATTTGAAGTCCACCCAACATCACCTTCTGTCCTCTACTGTCCTAATTCTCACTAAATCTATCCTAGACCCTGAGCTCCAAGGGGCTGGAGCTCTGCACACACTCCCAGCTCCCCCACAGTACCCGTCACAGAAGGGAGGTCCAGTAAATACGTGGGCATTCACTTGTCCCCACGTCATCTCCTAATTCATCTAACATGTGTGTCCATCTGTGGACACCCCAGGGGAGGTTACACACACGGGGTCTGAAGGAGACCCTGCTGAGCCCACGTGTCCTGGAAACACATGACTCGCAGTGACACAAGCAGTATTGCAGGACAGGCCTGTGTCAGGTGGCAAAACAGTTGGCTGCTGACCCCTGTGACTCTAACAATGCAGAAGCCTTATGACAGAGGACATCCTGATGGAACCTCCTGTAGAGAGCACCATGGTGGACACCTCATGGGTGGCTGTGGTGACAAAAAGGACAGGGAACAGAGTGGGTGTACTGGTCAGTCTTCCTGTCTCAGTGACCAGCCCGTACATAGAGTCAGACATTTGTGAACTAAAGTTATGGGAAAGACGTGAAGTAGGACTCAGATAGGACCCACAACTGAAGTATGTTTAGGAGAAAATCTTAAAATACAGCAAAACTATATGAGCTCAGTGTACTTCAGAACCTGTATAAAGAATACAGAATAATTGAGTATTACTCAAACAATTGAGTGTTACATTTAAAAGTGATTTCCTGCCTTTTGATCATACTCACTCACATATCCTGAAAGTATCACTCAGTTTGATTGTCAATTAAAGAGGTAACTACAAATAATGCCCATATTGATTCAAGCAGCTGTCCTTTAGTTTTTGCAATTAATAGTTGTAATTTCTGCAAGGTGTTCTCATTGTCTGTTCTCATATCCTATTCTGATCCTAGAGCAAAACACTTATCTAAAAATTAAGTCATTTTTCTCAAAGTTTTGATGGGAGGAATAGAATCATGATAATCTGTCTTCATCATGCAGCCTGTGTGGCACAGCATGACCACTAGGGGACCGGTCACTTCCACAGTCCGGCACCAGGACATCTGGTTGGATGAGCCAACTTGGTATGACAAGAAGAAGAGACACTTTCTTGTTGCAGAATGAGGCTAAAGATGTGGGAGTCATTTTAAAGCCATTCAATTGAAGAGAACTGAAAAACAGGTGCATTACTGAGAGAATGCTGTGTTCTCAGGGTCACTAAATTCTTAAACTTTAACAAGGTTCCCTCACACTGATTTTGCACAGGGCCCTGACATGGCACCTTTGGTCTGCTGGTGACTTTAGCTTTAGACCCATGTAAAGGTCTTTGCTGTGAAGCCTCGCCATACTCAGGAAGACGTCCGTTCAGAGGGGTCGATGCAGGTGGGTGTGATCACAGGTGATGAGATTTTCTGTTTAGGGAACCTGAGTGTTTGAATTTCTCTGGGTTTCCTGGTCAGATAGACTAAGGAGCATGGGAGCTTCCCACAGAAGTGGCCTCCTCATTACTCTGAAGAACCTTTCTGTGTCCACTCCTCATGGGGACGGCCCAGCATCCATAACCCAAGGTGAACAGGGTTAATTCACTGTATGGTGTAGACTGTTCCACCTGTTAGATCTATTTTTATAGAATCCAGCCTTCTCTAGACAACCCCATTGTGACCTGGATAAATATGGGTTTACCTACTTTATCAAATAGAAATGAATCGTGAGAGAGAAGAATAGAATTCACACACTAGGCCCACGAGTTTATAGGAGCCTCTGCCCAGCACACAGGGATACAGCCCCTACACCCTCCAGGAATGGAAGGACTTACTGAAGGGGGAGGACAGATGATGGACATGATGAGGGCTGTTGGCTGGCAGAGTTCACCTGGCGTGAGAGTTACTAGAACCATAAATATTAGAGTAGAGGGACAGTGATAAGGAGCAGAGCACAGAGCTCTTCTCTCTGAAGACCGCATGGCCCAGGGACACAGGGATGTGGACAAAGCACGAATCCTGGAGGGAGGGCAGGAACTGACCTGCAGGGGATGCTCAGGACCCTCTGTCCATGGGGCTCCGACCCACAGGCAGGAGCAGAGGGTGGCTGGGAGTGATGTGTTCCTGTCCAGATCTGCAGTTCCCTTCCCGAGGAGCAAATATGTGCCTGGGGTTCAGATGGGAGTAGCCCAGGGACAGAGAACTGGGATCACTCTAACCAGACATGCTCTCAACTCTGTGGTTCTGTTTCAACTTGTTCGTCTGTGAAATGAACATAAAACTGATATCTATGTCACGTGACTTGTGTGCATATGTAAACATGGAATAACATGATGGGTACTAAGTGCTTAGAAGAGCCCTTAAAATAATATAATCATATTTTCCCAAATGATCTAATTCAGAAAGTGTCCCAGGATACTCACACCTGCACTGAAGCCCTGCCCTCTCTGTAGGTGCCCAACCTCGGAGCTCCCAATATAGAAGGAGGACATGCAAATAGGGGCCCCTCTGCTGATGAAAACCAGCCCAGCCCTGACCCTGCAGCTCAGGGACAGGAGACCCAGCCCCGGGATCCCCAGGTGTCCCCATTCCGTGATCAGGACTGAACACAGACGACGCACCATGGAGTTTGGGCTCAGCTGGGTTTTCCTTGTGGCTATTTTAAGAGGTAATTTATGAAGAACAGGAGACTCTGAGTATGTGAGAGAACATGAGTGAGAGAAACAGTGAATGTGAGACAGTTTCTGACCAGGACCTCTCCGTGTTTGCAGGTGTCCAGTGTGAGGTGCAGCGGGTGGAGTCTGGGGGAGGCTTGGTGCAGCCTGAGGGTCTCTACTACTCTCCTGTGCAGCCTCTGGATTCACCTTCAGTAGCTACTGGATGCACTGGGTCCGCCAGGCTCCAGGGAAGGGGCTGCAATGGGTGTCAACCATTAGTAATGATGGTGGTAGCACATACTATGCCAACTCCATGAAGGGCCGATTCACCATCTCCAGAGACAACGCCAAGAACATGCTGTATCTGCAAATGACCAGCCTGAGAGCCAAGGACACGGCCGTGTATTACTGTGGGACCTGCACAGTGAGGGGAAGTCAGTGTGAGCCCAGACACAAACCTCCCTGAGGGGACAGGCGGGCTGGGCTGCAGGGGGCGCTCGGGACTCCAGGGGCGACCAGAGACTGGGAGGCTGTGTTCAGACCACCTGGGGCACTTGTGACATTTGAGCTCAGGAAGGAGCCTGAGGCCAGTGTTACCGGGAGGAGGGGAGAAATGGAGGGAGTGTCCTGTCACCATAGAGTCACCTTAGTTTAATTAAAAATATCTACCACTAGAGACAGTCTACTTCATTTGTTCTACATAATGACATGGTGTGTTAACACTTCAAATGCAATAGTTGTTTACACATGGCACACATATACAATATGTTGTATAATTTTGTGCTTCATCTCTGATATTGGGTCTGTAGTGACAACAGGAGTCACATACAGCTGACACTGTGCAGTAAATTACCAGAATGTAGGTCCCTGTGTTGGTAGTCTTACGAATCTGCAGCTAAAATAATTAATAATCATAATAATAATAATAAATCCCACATGTTTATTTGATTAATATTAGGAAGAATTAACTCATGATAGAAAAAATTAATCTGAATTGGAATTTAAATCTCCCATATTGTTTTCCCAAAGAACCTGAGAACCTGTACTATATTTTGCCATGTACAATGTGACTTTTTTGCCCAAATTTGTGAGGGAAAAATAAGGATACCCATTATACATGGGTAGTACTCATTCTGTATCTATATAAATCCTTTTAATTCTTTTATATATTCTTGTAAGTTAAAAGTGTAAGTCTAGAATTCAATTACAATATCCATATGCAAAACAATAATCTGTAATATGATAATGGATATTGTTAAACTTATGACAAACAGTTCTTCACTTTCTATGATGCATAAATATCGTAAATTTCTTACTGGTACATAAAATTTCTTGTACCTTATCTGTTCTGTGTTTTGTAATTATTTATTATATAAAATTTCTTGTACCATAATATGTGTAAAATATGCTAAAATTTCTTTATAATACAAAAACTAAGTACCTAAATGTAAACAAATAAAAATTTAAATTAAAAAATTAAAACAAAATATTTTTCTCTGAAAGTTTGAGTCAAAAACGTGGGTGCACCTCATACACAGCAATATATGGTATATCCCTCCTCACCCAGCAGTTTCAGGAATGATGGTTCCCAGGCTTAGTCCCCAACCCTACATACATAAAAATGTCCTCAGGAAAAAAGAGAAGAGAAGAAAGCCTGACATTTCCGTGGGAGGAGCAGGTGGGGTCTCACTTGAATTTCTCCATCTTATGTGATCATCAAGGACCAGGTCCAGGACCCCTAAGAGACACTTAAAATGACTTTACCTTGTACAATGTTATTACTGTCACACACACAGAAACAGACACACATACACAAACATGGGCACACACAGATGTATTTAATGTATGTGTTGGTAGAAAATATATTCTTATAAGATGAGAAATGCAGATTTACTATGTTTCACTTTCTTTTCAAACAGAATTCTTAATATTTATTTTTATTTAAAACCTCTATTTCATCAGCATTTTATTTCATATTTACCAATCACCCACATATGCATTCTCTTCCATGAAATTATCAAATATTTTAACATAATAAAAATATCAAGCTTTCTCACTCAGTTCTCAGAACAACTGCCATAGGCAACGTGGCTTAAACAATGGTAATTGATTTTCACTGATGAGGAGGCTGGAAATGTGACAATCAAGGTGCCGGCTGAGTCTGGTCCTGGTGAAAGGCCTGACCTGGCTGCAGTTGACCACGTTCTTGCTGAGCCCTCACATGACTTACGTGATGGAGGGAGGTCTCTCTCGTCCTCTTTGTACAAGGATGCTCTGATCCTATTGGAGCTGGACCACCACATTCTGACCTCATGTAACCTTACTTGTCTCCTCAAGGCCCTATTTTACAAACCATCATTGAGCATTAGGACTGCAACATACACATTATGGAGGAATTTAATTCAATACATAGTATTCTACGTGTGAAAATTCATGCCTTTCTCACATGCAAAATAAATTAACTCTACCTCAAGTGCCCCCAAAGTCTCACTCATTAGAGCATCAATGCTAAATGCTAAGGTCCAAAGTCTCACCTAAATATAGTCTCATCAGATATTGGTGAACTTGAGTTGTGATTCATCCCGAGGCAAAATTCCTCTCGAGCTGTGACCAGACACATTACGTGCTTCCAAACTGTGATGGTGGGGCAGGCATAGGGGAGACAGTCCCATTGTGAAAGGGGTCAACAGAGAAGAAGGAAGGACTGATGGACCCCAAGCTTGGTAACAACCTGCCAGGCAAATGCCAGGAGACATGAGTGTTGGAGAACCATCCTCATGGGCTGGATGCCCCTCCTTCTGGCGGCCTTGAAGAGGTGGTGGTCCCAACACCTGACCCACTGAGGTGGTGTCTCACTTTCTGGACCCACTAAGGCAGTGTCACCACAGCTGTGCTGGCAGGGGTCACATGTCACAGGCTCTGCCAGCGGGGGTCCCACCCAAAGGATTTGGTTGCTGGGTGTGTCACCGGTTGAAACCAAGACATGGTTTAAGTCTTTGAAATCAAGGAGTTATCTGATGACTTCTAAATTTCTTTCAAGTTCATTCTTTCCTTTTCTTAAACGATATTGCATCTTCACAGCCAATTTAGTTATGAGCCTGTTCTGTAAAATCCAAATAAACATTCTTTCTTTCTGCTACAACTTCTTGTCCCTGATTATTTTTAAGTGACAGGTACCTGCAGGTATAATCCATCTGTACACCTGGCTTCTGCTGAGATACCTATTAAAGCCGTGAGGCACAGCCATGATTTTATTCATCAAATGGTTTCTCAGCAACACTGTTCATGACCTCTTCACAACAAGCTTTCTTGCTTTTGGCTGTATGGATATGCTGACCGTGTTTCAAATCTCCAAATTCTGATTAGCATCTGATTAGTACTGCCATCCTCAATCCAGTTGTCTCCCCTCACATTTTACTAGAAGCAGCCAGGAGGAACCAAACCACTCCTACACTTTCTTAGAAACCTCCTCAGCTGAATATCCAGT